GGACGTGCTGCTCCCACCCCACAAGCTGCCCAATGTCCAGGGGCACCCCAGTGCCACTCCTGTGCTTCCACACGAACCACAGTGACATCCCCAATGTCCCCAGGACCCTTCCCACTGTCCTTAGGCCACCAAGTTGCCCTCCCATGTCCCTAGTGACCTCCTTGCCATCGTGGCCACCACATTAGTGTCCCCAGGGACACCCCAGTAACCCCTCTGTGTCCCCACGCCCTTGTCCCGAGTGTCCCCAGGCACTTCCAGGACTCCCTCAGGTGTCCCCAGTACAGCCCAGTGCCCCCATGTCCCGATCCCCCCCACCCCAACCCGCTGTCCCCAGTGTGTCGTGTGTCCCCCCCCACCAGGCACGGCTGGGCTCCTGCAGGGCCGCTCTGGGCCACCAGGGGGCGAACGGACCCAGCACAGCTCCCAGTACAGCCCCAGTATAGCCCCAGTATAGCCCCGCACCACCCCCAGTGTGCCCAGCAAGCCCCCCAGCACAGCCCAGGACCTCCCAGCACCGACCCCAGTGCCTCCCGGGACTGCCCAGAGGAGCTCGGTACCACCTCCATCGCCCCAGTTCCAACCAGAGTGCCCCCAGTACAGCCCAGTATCATGCACACAGTGCCCCCCCATAGAGCCCAGTGCTGCTCCTCTGCCCCGTGCTCCCAGTGCCACCAAGTACCAGCTCCCAGTACCAAATCCTAATGCCCTAGTACTTCTCCCCATGCCCCCAGTACTGACCCTGAATGCCTCCAGTACCACCCAGTACCAACTTCCCATGCCCTGAGTACTGTCCCCAGTATAGTCCAGGACTTCCCAGCACTGACCCCAGTGCCTCCTGGGACTGCCCAGAAGAGCTTGGTACCACCTCCACTGCCCCAGTACCGACCAGAGTGCTCCCAGTACAGCCAAGTATCGCCCAGTACCACCTCCCGTAGCCCCTGTAGAGCCACTCCCTCCCTCCCCATCCCCTGCCCCCAGTACCACCAAGTAGTGGTTCCCAGTACCAAATCCTAGAGACCCAGTACTTACCCCAGTACCCCCAGTACTGACTCTGAGTGACCCCAGTAACACCCAGTACTGGCCGCTAGCCCAGACCAGCATACCCCCCCCTAACACCCAGGCAGTGCTGCCACCTCCCCG